TTTCTTTCTTTCTTTCTTTCTTTCTTTCTTTCTTTCTTTCTTTCTTTCTTTCTTTCTTTTGCTTTTTCCTGGACAGTCTCTTAAAATAGCAGACAAGGCCAACTTTTAAATTTTATTCCTACCAAGATGTGTCTGAACATAAACTTTCCTTAGGATTGGAAGTATGAAAAGTTGCCCTGCTGGGAATAGAGTAGGTCATTGATAAAAGTGGATTTGGTGGTTTGAGTAGGTATGGCTTCCATAGATTCATGTATTTTGAATATTTGGCCCATAGGGAGTGGCATTATTAGGAGGTGTAGCTTTCTTCGAGTATGTGTGGCTTTGGTGGAGGAAGAGTGTCACTGAGGAAGCAGGCTTTGAAGACTTGTATATGCTCAAGCGATGTAGGGTGGCACAGTCTCCTCCCTGCTGCCTGTGGATCAAGATGTAGAACTCTCAGCTGCTTCTCCAGCACCATGTTGACTTGCATACTGCCATGCTTCCCAATATGATGACAATGGACTAACCATTTGAAATTGTAAGTGAACCAAAATTAAATGTTTTTGTTTATAAGAGTTGCCTGGGTCATGGTGTCTTTTCACAGCAATGAAACCTTAACAAAATGGTGGTTAAGAAACTTCTCCCTTAAATTCTCCCTCAACAGAAACAGATTGAAAAAAAAAAAAAAGCAACAACAACAACAACAACAACAAAAACTGTGGCTCACATATTAGTCATATAGTATAGGATAAATGCACTAAAATCTGTAGTCCTAAAGAAGCTAAGCAACAAAGAGGACCCTGAAGAAGAGACTGAAACCTCATTCAAAAGGGCAATGGGATAGACATCAGAAGTAGAAGAAGAGAAGGAACAGGACAGAAGCCTATCACAGAGGACTACTGAATGACTCTACCCACCAGGGTATCAAAGGAAATACTGAGGCACATAGCCAAACTTTGGGCAGTGTCAGCAACCTTATGGAAGAATAGGGAGATAGAAAGACTTGGATGGAACAGGAGCTCCACAGGAAGAAAAACAAAACCCAAAAATCTTGGCACAGGGGTCTTATGTGAGACTGATGCTCCAACCAAGGACCGTGCATGGAGATAACCTAGAACCCCTGCACAGATGTAGCCCATGGCAGCTCAGTATGCAAGAGGGTTCCCTAATAAGGGGAACAGGGACTGTCTATGATATGAACTCAGTGGCTGGCTCTTTGATCACCTCCCCCTAAGGGATGCAGCCAGCCTGATGAGACCTGATAGGCTAGAGTCAGATAAAAAGGGAGGAGGTCCTCTACTTTCAGAGGATTATGGAAAGGGCATAGGGGGAGGAAAGGGATGGTGGGTGGCACCAGGAAGAGACAAGGAAGGGGGCTGGAGCAGGGATACAATTTGAATAAATTATAATGAATAAAGAAAAAAATAGGAAAATAAGACAATTTTTAAAAAAGTCTGTGGATCACAGCTGTATGAATAAATATTTGTCTTTCTATGACTGTAGATATTGACCTTACCTTTACTCTCTTACACTGTTTGTAGTAATGACATCTAATCCGTTTCCCACCATATGGTGAAGCAGATATGCACTTCAACTAAAAGCCATCTGTACTCAGATACGAAAGCGGGAGGCTATGAGGGTGACCATAGCTGAGACTCCTAGCAGCAGTGGTTAAGGAACCTGAAGTCACCATCTCCTGTGGCCAGGTGGGACTTCCAGTGGAGTGAGGTAGACACCAACCCACCCATGAAACCTTCAACCCGAAAGTTCTCTTGCTTAAAAGAAGTGTAGGGATAAAGATAGAACTGGTATTGAGAAATTGGCAAATCAATGACTAGCCCAACTTGAGACCATACCATGGAGAGAGCCAAGCCCTGTCACTGTTAATTTTAATTATACACTGCTATGCTTACAAACAGGGGTATAGCAGAACT